CTGCCTACTCCCCCTCCCTCTTTCTTGTGGTGGCCGACTGCATTATGAAGACCACGACATGTGATTATGTCCGGTAAAACTAATAAATTCAGCACTAGTGACGAGTACTAGCAAAACTGTTTGTTTTTGGGGTTTATATACTACAACAGTTGATTTCCGCCTGAGAAGGGAAGTAAAGACTTTAAGGTGCGACCAATCAGAAATTAAAACCCGACGTGCATGCGGTCAGCAAAGGCATTTTTGATAGCTTACTGCGTCTGTTAGCGCCCAGACATCCTTACTTACTCTAAGGAGTTGAGGGGTGAATAGTGAAAATGCACAAGATTAAGAAGCGTGTTCCATTGTATTCGCCTTTCCCCCTCTCATTTTTTTCATCTGGAAAAAATGAAAGTGTGCAAGCCACAATTATGCTTATTCAGGCAAACAAACTGCACAAAAGACCTATTTTTAAATGACAAACAATAAAAATAGCAGAATAAAACTCTGCAACGCTGTCTACAGAGGGTACAGTCACTATTACGACGAGAAACTTGTGGGATCAATTACAGAGCAGCAAGTGGTTAGAAGTTTAAGAACGTGCAATAATTACCTAGTAACCAGTAAAATATGTCACTACGAAGAAGAGATAATATTTTGTTCAGGAAAGATAATAATATCGGTCAAATAGTTTCAAAACAAATAGCCAACTGTCTAAGAAAATAAACTTCCCCAAAACTTGGAAAATCATATATCCATCCCACCAGAGACAAATGCATTTAATTGGATTGAACGAAATTATTCAAAAACCAGTCACTCAACATATCCTGGCAAGAATGGTCATGCAAATAAACTATAATAAAAATTTGTCAATATTGCCTTCCTTTTTAGGGGTAAAAATGCGCTGAGGACGCCTGTAAGCTATCAAATGGCCAAACGTTCGGCAAATCCGTCGTGTGATCAAACTTTTTTTAAGAAAGTGATAGCGTCTTAGGCGCTACTCGGCGTGTTTTTAATAATAGGGGTAATCATATTGTCGTCCTATGATGTGTAACGCTGCTGTTCAAGAACGGTCATTCCGATTGTGACTAATAAACCTCGTTATGTTTACCCAGTATCTTTTGGAAGTAAGGACTGATGACACATTCGAATGGAACTAAGGGAGGACCAGAATGAACGTGGGCAAAGTTCCCTACGTAGAAAATTTAGTGTTGTCGCCTGTTAACTTCCGCTTGTTTGGGTCAGTGAGTGGGTCACAGTGTTGTACCAGGCAATGCTAGTTATTGGCTTTCACAATTCTACGGTAGAAAAGATTCAGTGGATGTCTGAGTAAGACGAATTTTTACAGAAAATGGCGGTCTTTTTACCGATTGTCGGCTGCGCATTGAAGGTTGTATCTTGTTGACTATCGTTAGCGTTTGCAGAACGCATGGAATTTTTTTATTCATTGTGAGCGAGATGAGTCTCTGCTGCGATAGCGTTAGTGAATAACAAGCGGCCATACCCACCGGTCGTTCATGTTAGCCAGAAACGGAATTTACAGGAAGATTAGCTGTGTCAGTGGGCTTGAGGGAATAGACTTTGACACTGAGCATTCTGGTGATCTCTAGAACCCGGTTATAAGATTCGACTACTTTGTCAACTGCGTTGTTTTTGAATTTAAAGGGGAAGCTTATTTATTTATCGACACACACTTTTAGGCGCCGTATACTGCTATACACGTAACAATCGTATTGAGTGTTTTGGTTGTATAATTAGCTATGTGCAAAGGTTCTGTTAACATAGAATTCCGACGCCTGTGGGAAGCTCTACATTTAAACTTTAGCTTCAACAGTAAGTGACTTTTAGATAAAATCTACGATTTGCAAAGACAATCACTTTCAGGTTGTCTTGAGCGAACAACTTCATCTCTGACCTTCCCCTGAGTCTGCAGAACAAAAGTGACAGGATGCACTAGGAAGAGTCAAACAGGAAGCTCAAACTTCCCATCATATAGCCTATGACGGTCACATGGCTCACTCGGGGAAAGGATATCCTACTGACTAGCCACTTGATGAAATCAGATGGGGATGTAGAAAAACTGCCTGATATACTGTATTCTGAGCACACTCTTTACAGGAACATTCCCAAGGAATCTCGCGGGTTTTGCCGCGGAAGAAATATCATTGTGCAAAGCGTACTTGAAAACACAAATCCTGACCATACAAAATATGATATTCGGGAATGGAAATTCATCAAGCAATCCTTGAAGCACAAAAACATTGACTCAACAAGTCATGAAACTAGCCAAGAAGGACAGAGCCCAGCTGATGAAGATAACCTTTTTATCCTTCCATATGGTGATAGAAACTCTCAAGGCGTTTCGTTCCAACAGACGCCGGTTGCTAACTTGAATCTATATGCATCTGGGTAGGCCACAGGATGCTAGGATCAAGTACACAAGAGAATTGGAGCTAACTGTTTCACCTATGGACTGTCAAGATCATGAAAGAAAAGTAGAAAGGACTTGGGTTACCAACCCAAAAACCACGTGTATATAGATTTCCTGTCCATTCACATAAGGCTTATACAGATAAACAGGATGCGGAAGTTCATGAGTTTTAAATTGAAAGCATAACATGCTCATGTATGAACGCCTTCAGTTTAACGAATATAATGAATGAGTTGTGTAAACTATTTGATGTTGGTAATACTCATCTGAATTGAATATCTGAAGCATAATTATCTTCTTAAATTACAAACCAGGAGCCAGCTGTAATATCCAAACTAAGGTTTGGCTGAAGAATAACTGCCTGGGTAGTTTAGACACCGACTGAAATCGAAACAAGGCGATTGGGGAAATAACGGTTCTAAAAGCTATCACGCCATCATAGCCTTCAATTTTATCTGCAAAACTGAGCGTAGACATCTTACCAGCAACAAGCTCTGTAATTTCAAGCGGTTGGATGTGTCAGCTTTACAGGACAATCTACAGGAGGTGGTATGGGAAGTTCCCTCCCAACTTGATAAGGATGCTCATTGGGATTTCTTACTGAAAACAACTTCGTGTATTGCAAAGCAGTCTTTTCCGCAAACGGCCCCCAAATCACACAAGCAACCTATAGTCATCAGTAATCGTACGCTCCGTTCACTAAGCAGCATAACGCACTAGTAGACGGAATACGAATGCACTGGTAAATTTAACGCATATAGGCAATTCAAACATGCAAGGAACTAGTGAACAGTTACAATAACAGATGGCAGGCTTCAATATCAGATCAAGCCTGTCGACAAATTTGTTTCTTATCCGAAAAGCTTATTCCATCATGCAGCCTCTCTTCTACGAGCCAAACTTGAAGTCTCACAACCTTAGGTCCTAAAATTTCGACTAACAACGATGGCAGCGCCGCCCATCTTCTGACAGAGCAGTACTTTCGGACATTTCAACTGACTCGTACTAGCTATTGATGAGAGCTTCATCCGCGACTCACCAGGACTCTCAGAAGTGAATCTAAGCTCTGACTTTGGGGACCAGGAACTGCAGCACCTAGGAAAGACATTTCACCTGGTCCGGATATGGTCCATTCTGCTACACTGAGGGAAGCAGCTTCACTCATGGCAACACCGATTAGCGTGATGTTCTCACATTCGTTAAGCCGAGACAAGTTACCAGAAAATTGAAAGCTAGCTCACGTCACATTAATTTTTAAAGGAGGTTGACGTGGAGAACCTTCGAGCTACTAACCGGTAGCATTTCTCTCTATGCCCTCAAAAATTATGTGGTCACTGATATTCAATGGTCTACATGACTATCTGCTGCACATAAACCTCTTTTCACTGCGACAGTACGCTTTTGTGAAAGATAACTCTTGTGTAACTAACCTGCTAACTGCGGTGGACAGAAGGATAACCATTTTTGATCTCAAGTGGAAGGTGACGTCGTTTACCTTGACTTCTCAAAACCTTTCGATAGAGTCGATCTATTATCAATAAACTCAAACGACTGGGTACCAAATCATCTTTAATAGATTGGCTCATTTCATATCTAAAAAATCTACATTTTGCGATGAGGGTCGACTTCAGTCTGTCTCAGGCTACGGAATGCCCAAGTGGGGTATCCCAGGGTTCAGTACTGGGACCTCTTCTTCTCTTGACTTACATAGACAATGTTCCACAACAGATATCACCAGATTTATTACTTTTTGCTGATGATGTCAAACTTTGGAGAGAGGTATGCAACGAAGAGGATAACTTGGTGCTTCAGGAGAATCTGATTTGACTTCAAAGTTGGAAAGAAGAAAGCGGAAAAAGTAGCCCATTTAAGACATGTTACAGACTACAACCACAACATAGGTAACTCGCATCTAGAGGTCTCTCACGCTGAAAAAGATCTAGGAGTGTTGGTACCTCACGATTTGAAGTCTTACGTTAACTGTGACAAAAATGTCTTTCGATGAAAACCTTGCACTGATAATATTGAAGCTCATTTTTGCACAGTTCCACGGAAGAATTTCCCACATAATCTTCAATAAATCTAGCCGTCCCCATTTAGAGTACGGAAACATAGTATTTCCCCCCTCACTCGAAAATGGTAAGGATATTCTGTGACATATCCAACGGTAAGTCACGAAATCAGTTTTGGGACTCAAATTCAAGTCTTATGAAGTGATCTTCCACAATAGAGTACAGGCGTCTTAGAGGTGACATAATGACTTACAGCTTCCCAAACACTTCTGAGCATCTCTTAAAACACCTACATACGGTTAGTACCGACAAAAACTGGAGACACAATACAGTAGGACGGATTGTAAGCATACCTACTCCTTAAGAGTAGTCAAATGTTGGGATTCGTTGCTGGATGAGCTAATTCTAGAGACTTCCCAGAAGTCCTTTAGGGGGAAACCTAACATATTCTTAAGGAATAAGGACATTATCTCACTATGAATTACTACTTTTTTTCTTTTCCCGCTTATCTTCAACATATCTAGATTCTTACCTGTAGGCATCGATGATCCACTGCTACTAAGTACGGAAGCTAATTAGGTGAAAGCTTCTTATATTCTGTCCAAAACTATTTGAAATGATCACTAAGATTCAAGTTTTATATCATTCATAGTTATACATTGTTTGTTCCGGCATAAAAATCCCGGCGGTTATTTTGTTCGTTGTTCTCCTTTGTCCGGGCAATGAAATTCCAGTACAAAGAAGACCGTCCGTTTGAAAAACGCCTAGAAGAAGGGCAAAATATACGTAAAAAGTACCCTTCCAGCGTTCCAGTAGGTTGGGTTTTCAGCTCATCACTTAAATAATTTGTCCTACATAATCTCTGTTTCCTAAGTTCAGGAAATTTCAGTGACTTCTTACACTATCAAAACTCTTCGAAACCCAAACTAAAATTCAGCGCTAACACGTCCGCGAGGAATGCTTGAATGTGTAACGTTAGTAGTCTAGGCTATAGTGTGAATTCCACATTTATCCTTCTTGGCACAAAACTCTTCATACGGGAATCAGAGGTCTGCTATCGAGTATGGAATTTCGTCGGTTGCAAGCCTAAATGTCACTCATAACTTCAGAGTCGTATAGTGGTCCGAAATCTCGATTTTCAGAAAAGCTTTATCATGGTTATGAGATTTAGGGGGAGCTGCACTGGAGAATTTTGGGGTATTGTGACTAAATCCTCCAAATTTCACGTAGTCTGGGGCTTTTCCCCAATATTTTCGGACTGAAAGACTATGGATTCTCATATAACTGTGTGGAGAACCCCAGAATTCCCTCAAAATCCAGAGATTGGAGGATTCGCATATGGGGTTTCTAGTTCATTTACCTACCAGTTTTATCATCGGTTCCTGACCTGAACACCTGCCAAAAAGGCTTTTTCCGATGCAATAATTTCACCCGTATATTACTGATGAAAAATGAGTTTATTTCATAAATGAGATTGGGAGATTCGATTTGTGGGTCTTTTCCAAACAAATGCGACCCTCGCTGTTAAGAGTGATTCTTTCTTATCATATCCTTCTGCAGCATCATTGGTTTGTAGGTTAAGCTTTTGTTCTGTTTTATTAATCTATTGATTTTCATGAATATTATGTTCCTGTTTCATCTACAGATTACATCAACACGGTTGATATAATGTTCGTGACGCCGTCATTTTCTTGGTGTTCCGTTCGTTTATTTTCTTTAATGCTAATTTACGTTAGTCACATTAAGCGGATGTAAGACCTGTGTTTTCTGTAAATGTAATGTGGCATTCTAGCTGAGTATCTGCGGTACTCACTTCACAGTAAAATATCTTCAGCTATGTACTAACGCAGTTAAGTTGCTTATTTATTTATTTATTTAAACACATAAATATTGGTACAAAAAAGCACCCGATAAATATGCGCCGCACAAATCTCATTTGATTTGTGTGAGGGCTGTGATACTGCCCAGGTGCCCAGACTGAAGCAGGTGGTTTTCTTAGGGGGTCACACCCCGAGCCTTTGACCTAAAGGTCTGATCCGCAAGGCAGTGGAGCATCGTGAGGAGATGCGGTCCCATGGTAGCCGGTGACCAACAATAGGTTTATACTCCATTCGTTCCATCAGGATACTGGAGCCCATGTGCTCCGTCGGTTTGTAATCAGGGCTTCCCAACTCCCCTAGGTGGACCCTCTATTTCCACCAACCCGGTTAAAACGCTGGACGTTCGCTTTTCGTCCTCTCAATTTCGTAAACAACAGTAGTGCCACGAGAAGACAGTGAGTAGGACTTTCCTGGCAGAGGCTATATATTCGCGTGGCCATGAGAGAGCATTTCGAGAGGGAGAGCGGACTCTCCTCACTTTCGGCCGTACCAGGGCATTTGGAGGCAGTTAAGTTGCTTCCTATCAACAGTTTCAGTCAGTCATCAATGTAGAATCTTGCACAGATGTGCATTGGCCTAAGTTGCCGTCCAATATTAGCATAAGGAGATGGAATTAACAAGAGATAGAGATAATATATTAGCAATGACAATGGAAGAAGACTAAGTCTTCAAAAGATGAAGAAACGCCAAGAGTCAAGATCGAGAAAAAGATGAGGAGTGAATGCATTTGTCCTGCTACGAACGATCCTGAACCATGTCTCCCAGTCTCCAGCCACTGATTACACTTATTACACGGACCCCCATAAAGTCTACATCTACAGACATAGCTCATACTAAGTCAGTGTCTCCATGGACGGATGTTATGCCATGGCTTAACTGCCTCTCGGTGACTTGACAGTATCAGTTCAAAACCGTGGTACAAAATATGGTTTCACTTATGAATTGTATCTATTAATGGGTGTTTACAACAAACTGATGGTTTGACAGTAATTTGAAGCTTCCTTAAAACTGTATCCTAATGGAAATGGTGTTCTCAGGGATTTTAACATTTGTTGAAGTTCGTAATGTGGCTCAAATATTTTCTAATTGACCCAGATAATCTATATTTGTCTCAAATGCATAAGAGGTTGACTGTTAACCGTTTGCTGATTCGCCCTTCCACTACAACTTATTTGATAGTTTGACGATAGAATAGAACCATCAAAAGTGTGATGCCGAGCGAAGATAGTATTCAGTTTACGAAAATGATAATTTTGTTATTTGAACAACATCGTGATAATAATAAGTATCTCTGTCGCATGTTCCCGTCATGTTTTGACTAATTGTAGGTTATTGTTGAAAAATCGCCTCGTGCACGTGTTGGCAATCTAGAGAAAAACAAATATCTAGTTCCTTCGGACCTAACTGTCGGACAATTTTACTTCCTGATTCGTAAGAAAATCCAATTAAATCCAGAAGAAGCGCTATTTTTCTTTGTTAAAGACATTATTCCTCCTACAAGCGCTACTATGGGTGCTCTCTATCAGGTAAGTAGTGTTAGCTGTTATTCTGTTTGGTGCATATTTACTCAGCTGTAGCCTAGTGATTAGGGTATTCGACTTTCAGCCATCAAGTCCAGAGTTTAAATCCTTCACTTATTTCCGTTTGGGCAACCGAGTAGTATCATTAACTCTTACGTTTCATTTTCATATCCAATTGATCGGTATCGCGATCATTTTCATAATGCTACTAGTTTTCATTTGTGCAACGTTTAAACTTCAGTTCGTATTGATCGTTTTCCTATGGAAGTGTAGTTTCATTTCTGTTTACTTTTGAAACATTAAACATTCATGTCTTGTTTAATAGACTTCTATACATCAGCTTATTATCGAAAACTAAGAGCTATGAGATAAATAGATTTCTTCATTTAATTTAGACTGTCTGTTATTTTAGTTCTACCAATAATGTAGCTCATTTGTTAGGCACAGATTTACCGTACTTTTATTTATTTACTTATTTTTATTTGAACACAAATATTGGTACAAGGGGGCACCAGATATATATGCGCCACACAAAAAATTGTCATTCCATTTTAATTGTGTGAGGGCTATAATACTCTCTGGGTGCCCAGACCAAAGCAGGTGGTTTTCTTAGAGAGACGCCCAAGCTTTTGACCCAAAGGTCTAACCCACAGGGCAGTGGAGCATTGTGGGGAGATGCAGTCTCGTGGTAGCCGGTGACCAACAATACGTTCATACGACATTTTTTCCTTCAGGGTACTGGATCCCATGTACACGATTGGTTTGTAATCAGGGTTTCCCAACTCCCCTAGGTGGACTCACCGTGTTCATCAGCCCGGTTAAAGCGCCGGACATTCGCTTTTCATCCTCTCAATTTCGTAAACAACAGTAGTGCCACGAGAAGGCAGTAAGTAGGACTTCCTTGACAGTGGCTGTATACGCGTGGCCGTGTGAGGGCATTTCGAGAGAGAGAAGATGGGCTCTCCCCACTCTCGGCCGTACCAGGGCATTTGGGGGCCATTTTACTGTAAGGTACATATTGTACTCGAGGGCTAGTGATGCTACTCATAACAGGTGAAACGAGGTTTGAACATTTATAGTTAAAAACCAAAGGATTTAATCATTAATCTACTACTTCAGGTTCTGTCTTTAAATTGCGGGCAATTTGTTTTTTTTTCCATCGAATTAGAACATTATATATATAAGCTTTGTACATATGAAATTCAACACTTACATAGGTGGTGTTTTTATCATGAGCGTTTTGATTTCGGCCTACTTTTAGGAACATCATGATCGTGATCTCTTCCTCTACATTGCATACAGTGATGAAAGTATATACGGATCAGTGGAAGATTGCACATCATGAAAATTGAATATTGGTCACGGTTCTGTTTTCAAAAGCTTATTGAGTCTGTGTTTCTTCCCACATCATTCTACCGATATACCTATTGTTCCCACACATACACAACACATAACCAGTCATTTCTGTCGATTTTTCCAGTCATATTTTTTTTCTTCTTTAAAACCTACACTACAGTGTTTTAATTGTTCATCTAACGACACTAATAATTATGTGTATTTCACTTTTTTTTGTTATTTACTAATTAAGAGTTATTAAATAAAGTTCGCATTTTGTGCAAAACAGTTATTGTGAATGACATTCATAATTTTCATTTTCATTAATTTAACTGAAGACGAAATACATTTTGTAAAAGCGTACATATTAGTTCTTTTTTGGCTTGTTTGATATAAATTCCTAAAGTTTTAGATAATAAGGTTTGATGTATGTTATGTTACATAACACTACTATGGATTACCAACCAATAGAGTTCTGTTGCGGATCAGAATTCCTTAGGTTGTGTCAGTTTAGTCACTAGTTATGTCATGTTTCAGTGTTCATTGAAATCTAAATCTGTAAGGATCAACAGTTGCTTTTGTTTTAATATAGGATTGTAAGACTTCATCGGTACAGTCAGTCACAACGCAGAACTTCGTACGTACGTACATCAGTTCTAGTTGCCATACCACATTAGTAAAAAGATGCAGTTGTTGATTCAAATTCCATAGCGGTAGAAGTAGTAAGAGTATAAGCAGTATTCGAAAATATTAGGGTTTGAAGATGTTATTCAAGTAGTATAATCCAGTACAAGCATAACATAAGGAGATTAGAAGTATTTTTAATCAACAGAGGCACTAGAGTATCCATTTTATATGAGTGACTAAGTTTAGAGGTGGTGCAATATGATGATAGTAATTAATTAAAGAACTCCAGGAATCATCAGAAATACGCCATCGTTTATTTCAATGTGTGGTAATAACTGACTTCAAGGTTAGACGAGCGTAATTTTGCCTTTGAAACGTAAATTTAGTGAGGTAATTGAACTTCGCTATTACTGGCTTTAATTGTATATTTATTTAAAAAAATTAAAACAGTGACTTCATGTCATTAATATGACTTACAGGATTGTACAATATAGTTTAAATCATCAGTATTCTCTCATGATCTATACTACCAAACCGTTTTCACTGAGCATAGAATCTGTTAATTGGGAATTAGTTGTCATGACCAACTAGTTGTAGACCTACTATTAACTTTGTTTCGCTTTTATGGAAAATATAACCACTGAATATATTTATATGGTGATTGGTTGTGCATTATATCTTATAATCTGATATAATGTACAGTGCAATCAATGATAATTAGCCAAAATAAAAATTAGGCGGTAGGAAAAGACTGGTTTGAGTTGTGTTAAATTGAAGAATGCTGATTGAAAATATGCACACAAAGTTAATGTACATGGGTTATATTTCTAGCTCTCTAAACTTATTGTTTCTTATAACAGTTGAGTAAATTTAGGAACTCAGTAGTCCTGTTAGTCATTCAGTTTGTGTGTTTGTGGAGATTGTTGTGTATTATTGAGGATCGTAATCCAACTTAGGTTAGATAATTAATGAAAATCAACAAGCACCAGATATCTACTCAGTTGTTTGAATGTTAAGCTTTCACCTTGAAACCTGAAAGTTCTGGGCTGGATCATCGGTATGTTTTTGGATGCACACCGTTAAAGAGTTCTATACTAGGACAGAACTGTTGTCCAATGCTTCTTGGTTTTCAATGATTGCCTCAGGTTATGTTTTTCAGTTTCGCAATATCATTTTACGTTTATACACACGGTTATAGGAAATTGAAGAAAATGGTTATAAGATAGACGAGTTTCACGTCCAAATAATTTTAATCAATGAATACTCTATATTGTTGTCTCTGAAGCCTCACACCTTAATATTAGCTTTGCCTACCTAGTGGTTAGACCTATTCCACATAGTGTTTATAAAATCCTGATGGTTATTTACCTGTAGTTATATTTATGTTGAATCTCACTGATCATATTTCATTTGTGTAGTTATTAACCACTGGCCAGGTTGGTAAGTACAGATTACCTGATTGGAATCCGCCTGATTATCATGATCAAATGATTGAAGGCGTTAGATGACATAGCTTAGGATGAGTCGCAATGGTGCAGATGTATTCAATTTTTGTTTATCCTTGGATCATGCGTTTCAAACTTGTTACATGCCTTTGGTTCCGTGAATTCACTCTTGAATCATTACCTACGTTTAATCTCTTCTGTTATCACTGGTACGGCTACTACTTCTACTATGGCATTTCTCTTAACATTTTCATCTCTGTGCTAATAAGATGTACCAACTTAAGCCGATCCATATGTGTGCCAGCTTCTATGTTGCTTGTGACTGATTAACTGACTGAGTTGTGAAGTAGAATCCCAATCACTTCTGAATATTAATGTGTCTTGTTATTCACTTGGTACAGTATTTACATAAATCTGTGTTCATAAATTTAGCAAGTGATGAGATTTTTGAGTGGTTACTGGTTATACTTCAAATGTTTGTTTATTAAATTGTTCTGAGGATGCAAGTGGAATTTTATCACATAATTGTCGATAGGTATAGTTCAAGTCGTCATAATTTAGAAGGGATTATGAAAAAACGTCACTTAATAAGACCAAAAGTCTGCCAAGTAAAGCATTTGTGGATTTATCGTGTACCTGATAACACGAGTTATTGTATTACCTGTCTATCAACATTTACAGCTGTCCCCACTCCAACGTTCTTATAATCTATTACATGCTTGGTCAGTTTAACAATCTCTTGATATGAAGCGAATATTAGAGAAGTTGAAACTACTTTACAGACTTATTATTCCTATTTTTGTTGTATAATTATTCGATAATTGAATTATTTTATTTCTGTTCTTGTTAGTGTAAATTTCCGTTGGACCCATCAACTATTGTTATATTTTCTACCATTTGTTAATTGTTACTGATTAGTTGTGTATCGTTGTCTTCCACTTATATGGCATCATTGTGTGCAAATTGTTTCTTAATTGGGGTGTGTTGCTGTCTGACAATTCATGCATATGAACTAATTAGTGTTTGAGGTAAATATACTGGGTCCCCTCACCTGATTTGTTCTCGTATTTTAACTGAAGATTAATGGTAGAAGACATGCGTACCGGTAGACCAATAGGAGCTAAGACTATATCGGCCCCTGCTCAATGTTAATTTTGACAGTTGGAGCGCATCAAAGCGTAGGACACGACACTATAGAAGAAATAGTACACGTGGTGTATAGAAATTATAACGAGGTTTCTAATTGACAAATTTTCTAGATGTCGGTTGACATTTTCATTCACAGCACATATCGATTGCAGTGTTGGATAAAGCAATTTAGATTTTACACGATTCGAACACGTAGATTCAAGGTGTTCTACTGTCTATCTTCCATATCAGTAAGCTTCCATACAAACAGTTCTCAATCATTCAATAATGCTTTGTAGTAGGATAGTATCTGTTTTGTTATTACATGTTTCCTCTTTGGTATGTTACGAAAATCTTGTGCTTTGGACTTCACTTTTCCATATAATAAATACTAGCAAACTAATTACATTTTGAATGATTCATGGGTTTTTCTAATTTTTTGTTGTTACATGTATATCAGCTGATTGTTCATTACATAAACGTATGATTTTGTTTGATCGATGTATAACAATTGTTTTATTTTATGAATCCTTTATTAGTTTTACACTCCCTTTCATTTGTATTTCGACTTTTTTAATGTAATAATAAATCGACTACCTAGTTTACACTGTGATCTGTAAGGAAGTCAGCTGATTACTTTTTTTCTTAAACAGTTGACAGTATTGTTTTATGTGTATGTCTATATGCCTGGTATCTTAGACTGTTTACTTGATGTGTACTGCCTTATCATTTGTTTGTTGATATCAATTTTACATCTGAATTGTTCAAAAACATTTACCTTATTCAATGCAATCTAGGCAGTTAATAAGTACATTTAGAAATAGTTTCTTATATTCACTTGCTTCATACGTCGAGTATGACAGGAGTAATTGAGAAGAAATTTAAGGACCTCTAAATCAAGACACTTTATCAGTTCATTAACTCATTGGCCGTTTGTTTGAATTGTGTTGGTAAATGGCAAACTATCTGGTCAATAACTGTTTTTTTCCAGAAAATTGATTTGTGTTTTGTATGAAGTAGACTTGCGTAATTTATATTCATAAACTTATGTGTATTCATCCATAGTTTAACTATTAACTTCTTGTCTCCCATAAAAATAGTAGCATATTCATAGAAAGCAGTTTCTGAAACTATTTTTGCAGTTTGATATTGTTGAAGGAATCCATGACATTCAGTTATGATGTATCGGAAACAACTAGATCACATAGAATAGTATCTTGTCGAGTGATTATTTTGATTCTCTCGTTATTGTACTGTAAGTACCAAATGTAAAAGATACCTGGTAAATAATAGTTTTTTTGTATTTCTTTATATTTCATAATGTTTAACTTATAGATGAGAAAAATTAACCTCTATTCATTACTGATTATTATTATTTGTACTTCATAGTACAATGCCTATGGTTACATCATTTATTTCAACATTGAATATAAATACCGGTGTAGCACAACTTAGCTCCTGGCTTACTAGTCAAGCTATTCATGTACCTCCTGGTTGGATTGATGCTTGTGTGGCTTGGCTTGCTGAAGAGCATGGAGGGATTGATGCATGTAATCATCTTACAAAGTCTGATTGGTGTCAATTAATCTATGAACAATGGCTTCATTCTGATTTGAAACAGTTAGCATGTCCAGTTCTACCGTCAACTTTATCTACTTCCAGAAATCCCCATGACAATTCTTTTAGCAATACCATTAATTCACCTGCACTTAAGCTGGATGGTGAACTTTGTCTTCAAGTAAGCTTTGTGATACACTTCACTGTTGAATTTGTGCGTTTAATTTTGTAAACGTGTATTATTCTAAATCGACCAATATTATGGATACATTTGAAGTATCAAGTAATGCAGATCTATTAGTTGGTAAAGTTGTCAGTCTAGTATGATCTACTTTGACGGAACACACTCAAAGTTTTTATCTGTATCGGTTTAATTTGTTGACAATAGTAATAATGCCGTTTAAGAACATCAGATTCAACATTATTCCAATCGACTACCTACTTAGTGTATGTGATGCACAGTGGCTTAGGGATTAAACTATCCTACTTTCAGCCAGTAGGTAGTAAGTTTGAAACTCTTTTCCATTTAGTATTCCTAGCTTTCATACACAGAAAGTTCGGTTAAAAGTTCCGAGTATATGAAATTGTACTTGGTCAATTAGTTATACTAACTGGTTATTTTTTAAATATTATGGTCGTTTAATAAGGCCTGTTCATCCCTATTCTTGATAACTGTTAAAATGTAGTTGACAAACTTTCTGAAACTGTATAATTGATATGATATGTCACTCCATTGGAGAGTGAATGATTTGTGGTTCTGTTAGCGGGAAATAAACCGGATTAAGGCATGCTATGTGCATGATCGTGATGGTACGCGTTGATTGGCTAATTCCAAACCAATCAGCCCTGGCAAATTACTTGAGAAAAAATCTAGAAGCTTCTTATGTATATACTATAAATATATGAACGTTATTCAAACCAGTGATTGCTGTTCACCTACCATTGTTATTTTGAATACAATTTCGTTCCTGTTCAACGTGTTCTGATTTGGGGTTTTGTTGAGTGTCATCGTATAAGAATACTAAGCAATAGGAGTAGCTGGGTTGTTTGCTAACAAAAAACGATTATGACAGGTTCCTATGTTCTTAGATTGTCTATTTAGTAAGTGACTTCTAATCATTCTTTTACCTGTCTTCAATATCTTGTATATAAGTGCATTATTTTATTTAGAAAATAAACGTGTTCTACTGAACAACTGTTTTGTCTTCAGATATCAGTATGATTGACGACTTACGTCAATAGTTCGGTTTCGTAAGTTGCCATCAATTGACTATGTATATCGTATCATTGCATATCATGTATCAGTCGACATTCAATCCACTCACTTTAATAACATAAATTTCGTTCATAAAATCCCACACCATTACAGTACGATTTATATAGTTGACATGTCTACAAATGTACTATATTCGCGTGTTAACTTTTTCTCATTGAAGCAAAAAATCTAAAAATGATATAGTTCATTGATTTACTTGTTTAATATAGGTTGTCAATTTATTCAACATAGGTGAATCATACTATGGTCAACTGAGACGACATGAGGGTAATTTGAGCGTGAATTTACCTTCATTGGAAGTAGACAGTGAAAATAATCCAGATGGACATACTACACAAATGACACAAGCTGTTAGTCAATATCTTAATCAAAGTCGTAAGTAGATTGTGTTATATATTTTCTACATTGTTCTTGAGTAAATGACACATTCTACCTCAATAGTCAAGTACATTTTACAAATAATTAATTACAAGCTATTAATATGATGTTTTTAAGATAGATATATTACTCGGTTGTTCTCAATGAATCAATAGAAGTGTGTTTTATCATGTTACTTAATGACTGGTAGTCCAGTTAATCGTCTTTCCTCTCAAACTCAGGATTTAGGTATGCAAACATTGAAGCACGTTAAATTGTTTGTGGATAAAGTGAGTAAACATACTTCTCAACTATTCAAAATAAGTAAAGCGGATTGAAGCACTGTTTACATCGCCCAAATACTAATGTTCACATATATCCAGTAAATCATTATTCTCTACCTTTAAATACATTCTTTTCATGTTCTCTTCTCATATTTCTGTTGAAGCGACTCAAACAAACAATTTTAGACAGTCAACAATAGCCAATTGTCTCACTTTGTTTCTTACTGATGGAGTAAGAGAAATCAAAGTTATTGAATTTGGCACCCAATCTACAAGATCACGATCTTCTTTACCTTTTAAAGAATTATTAAAAAAACTTCGACCTGGAGTAAAAATTCGTCTACGTGGACCATTACTTCTACGTAATAACATCTTACTTGTTCCTCCTGGTGCTTTACAGTCACTATCAAGCCATCAGTTGGAAGTTTTGGGTGGTGAGGTAACTAATATCTATGTGTATAGTTTTGGTTTTTTACAGGGATTTTTAGATGTCACCTTGTGAACTCTATTTTTACTTGAAATAATTCAGGTTACACGATGATGATAGGTCATGTACTCCCTAAAGACATGTTAATAACCATCTTGAAAGCTTTAAAACTCTCCACCTCAAGTAGAGCAAGGTAATAAAATGTCAATAGATACTTGCCAAGGTTCCAATAATCTTCTTTACTTATTCGAAAATGTATATATGTAAGGTCCTCCTCCCCTCGAACTCCATTTTCAGCTATGGTTTTACATGAAAGTCAGCTGTTATTACTTCAACAGCTAATTTTCTAAGTTTTGTAACTCTCAATGGTCAATGTTATGTTGACTTTCTTATTAATGTAAACACATATTTCTCGAGTTTTAAGTTCATGATACATGTAATACATTCAAAATGCTGTATACTTTGTCAATCAAATAAGCTGAGAAAAGCAAGTCATTTTAATTTTTTCATCAGTTAAAAGCAAAAATACAAAACTGTATTTGTCAACCAAATATCTTGTTCAGAACAACTTAATTATCAATCCTATTCAACTTGTAAAGTCCGATGATTAGAGTTAAACGGTAAATTTGTGCCTCGTTTGGATTCGAACTATATCCGCCCATCAAAGGAACTCGAAATGAAAGAGTATAGCTTGACGTAGAGAATATGATTCGGCAAGATTGAATGAAGTAAAAGAGAATAGAAATTATCAAATAATGTTGAAACTCAAGATAGATAAGAAGACAAAAAAATAAATTTATTTGGCCACCGTAACCGATTTTGTGCGATGTCTGTTTATTACGTAATATACTATCTTTCGATACAAATAAGGTCCTAAAACAGCAACAGAGACCGACCAGTTACAGTCATGATTTTCAGCAACTGAAAATCACAAACCCTTGTTAATACTTACTCACCCGTTGAACAAGTTAATGGTTATGTATCGTTACCAGTCCTTCAGGCTGTACATATCACAACAGAGACTTATCATTTGCAGTTCTAAATATCAATAGGAAATTATAATCCTCCTATTAAAACCTAAAGACAATTTACAAAATCGTTGCTGAACTCATTTTATTCTACATCACTCATTATTCCTGCTGTATTCATATGAAAAGTCTACTTCGACTAAATTGAACAATATTGATCAAATTAAAACTGATAAGAATGGATTATAATCTGGTATTAAAGTCCTATTGATTAAAATATGATTTACTGAATATTTAATAGTTCATTTTTGATAAAGTCCAATTGTTCTTTTTTTCTTTATGGATATCCTTTCTAAAATGATCAAAAATATGCAGATGTTAGTTCGCTCTTACAAAGGCGCCAATACTCACCGACTAACTTTTTTATTTAATAGAAATAATTGATGCGTTGCCTATCAAAAAGACTTTTTAGGAGGAGTTCATGGTTTGTTTGTTGTTATGAATAGTCAGTCAATCATATGCAACGTAAGACCTGGGATGTATGTATATTAGTTCAAGTTACTAAGCCGCATTATCTCACCGATATAAAACTATTCCTAGACAAGTCTTAGAGTAGTAGAAGTAGTAGAAAAAACTAAGTATAGGGAAAGAAAAAAGGTGTTAGAACATTTTGGAACTCGGATTTTAAGTGAAGACAAAGATGGAATACATTTGTGCCATTCCTAACGATTCTAAGCAATATAAAAAGTCCATAAGCATTGGCTACGACAATCCTGAGGACCCCAACTAGGTAATCTGCACCTACCTACACGGCTCACTCAATTATGTGATAAATTTGCATATAAGATCTTATAATTGAAAATCAATGAGTACTGAATAACTGTTTAGCTCTTCATTTAGTTTGTAATGTTATTTCGGATAATTCGATTGTTGATATTTTTGACTGATCGAAATTCTGTCGAAAACACCAATAATTGGAATAATCCAAAACCATTACAAATTGTATCAAAATTCATACCTGTTGCACAAGTGACTGGTTATGTGAACTCAGAAGCTAAGCAGATAACGCATTAGGTGGTGGAAATAAAAGGTACTAGTTTTGAATCGCGAAGTGAACATCAGCTCTGAGATGTAGCTACTGTCTTGTCCTGTAGCCCGTTAATTATCATGTGATAAGATCGCTAATCAGAACACTGACTTATACGATCTCTGTCTTGTGCCGAACCAATGATTCATTAACAGCCTAGAGTCTACTCTGAGTCTTTATTGGTTCTTCGCACCTAGCCCTGCCTTCTGAATCCAGAACACAATCTCATCTTCCGCTGTATAAATCATGTATTTAAGACATCCGCAGATTATGTACAAGTAAATCAGACCACATGATACCATAAAATAGATGTAACAGTTATAAGAGATCTAACCGAAAGGGACTGTGAGTGTGTGAGAGTCTGTAACTAATAGATTGGATGTAACTTAAAGATAGTAAATCGTATAATAGTAATTAATATGTCAAATGAAATTTTATAATACGAGAAATGTAAATATATATGCAGTTTAGTTACTTAACAGTTATAGAATCAGAATGTATGTATAATAACAGTCCATAAATAATTCCTAGCAGTTACCATTCATTTATTCTTCGTCAGGATCTAACTGGTACATATAGCTGACGGGTCCCAAATAGGACGAAACATCATCAATTCCTCTGCCAGTCACATCCCATCGGTTAAATAGAACATCTCCTTAGTGATCACCTTTGACACTGCACAAGTCAGCCATAGGCGATGTCGGATCTGGCATGTATATGCATCGACTGAAGCTACCACATCATATCAACACACTGAAATCAAATTATTAAAATGAATGCCAGATTAATAGTAGTAATAGCAGTAGTAAAAAAGATTAATCATAAATATTATGATCGAAGAACGTATTCGCGAAAGATAAAGCGTCCGATAATTTGAAGATTCATGATATGATGGAAGACAAAGATTAAATCCTTCTTCACCATCGAGAACAATTTTAAGAAATATCATCCAAAATCCGCAACCATTATTTATGATAATCGTGTAGACTTCAACCATTTAGTCTGCATCTACTAGCACGGCTCTATTCAGCAGTCAACAACTTCGTTTCTTGCAACGTGCACAGTTCTTGTAGACTAATTCATTTACATTCGTTACGCTGATTCACAATTTATCACAACCATTGTAAGATGCCATTAGTGTAAGTCACTGCTTTACTCCCAATTTGACTGACCAGGTATATGTCCGTACCTCCGAAAAATCCCAAACTAAGATAAAACAGAATATCAAATACTCATAATTGTGGCATAGTTTTTCAATTGATGTAATTCCTAAACATAATATCACATTTATAAGAACTATCGTCTAAATTAGAGCGAATAGTTTCACAGTATTTGGGCGCCGAGTTGATGTAATACATTAAATAGGAATAATATATTTGTAAAATCTCAGCGAATGCACTTGAAGTAAACCCAACGTTTCGCCTGGCAATCTGGTTCAAGCTTTTTCAAGGAAATATATCTCATAGATTCACAACTATTTTGTTTATATCTAGTTCCTTGGATTTGTTTCCAATCACGTCATTATTGAAGTTTGATGGATGTTGAAACATTTGTTCTAATTTTCTTATTTGACGTTTTTTTGTAATTTGGTCATAAAAGTTTTCTTTATGTTTGAAAAATTCAACAACATTTGTTTTTATTTTATTGGTATAATTAATGATGAAACACTATCATTGTTTCCTATACTTGAACGTAGAGATTCCAAGTTTTTAGTGGACTTATGAATACGTTCCCTAAGAAATACTCTTATAGCTGTAACAGCTACTTTTCGTGAACGCGGTGAATTGTCTGGAGTGTTGACTCTTAACGTTCCTAGATGAACATTATGGTTTAAACAATGTAAATTGAAAATTCGGTGGTTATTACCAGTTGTACATTTTCTTCGATAATTTGATGCGATTACAGAACAATATATCAGAACTTTCGTCTAAATTAGAACGAATGGTTTCACAGTATTTGGGCGCCAAGTTGATGTAAAACATTAAATAGGAATAATCTTTTTCAAGGAATTATATTTCCTTGAAAAACCTTCGACCAGATTGCCAGGCAAAACGTTGGATTTACTTCAAATTCATTCGCTGAGATATTACAAATATATTATTCCTATTTAATATCACATTTGATTTGAATAAAACTTGTAAAATCATTAGACTAAAGAAAAAAGCATAAGTGATTGACTTTGTAAATGTCGTTAGTTTTCAAATATATATTCACCTAATGATTCACCTATAAAGTCCATTCAAATTAAGCTGTATAATTTATAGTTAGCAATGGAATAGAATTAAACATTCAGTTTATATTTCGTTAACAAGTTCTTTTATATAGAAAGGAAACGTACATACAACTAATTCCGAGAATTAAAAGGTTTTTGTATGAAAGCTGAACAGTGGGAAGTCCATTTTATTTATAATTCAGAAAAATGAAAAGCTAAGAGCTGACTTTTATACTAACTGACCTTTTGGGATTAGTGAATAACTAGAGATATGTGTAACATATATTATAATCATTTCAATGAATGAAGGTTTATACCTTCATTAACCAATTTTTTACTGTTACCTTAAACTTTACTATTAATCTTATCAATTCAATTATTTCCCTGTACATGACCATTGCTTTAAATATAATTGCACGGACCATGTTTCACTGTCGTGAATTATTACGACGTCAACTGTTTCACTGGATACTTTCTCAGTGACAAACAAACAAAACACCTCATCCACGCCACGCGTAATATAAGTTGACAAATATTGGGTATTCATGATTATAACTAACCATCATTCGTTTTATTTATTTAAACACAAATATTGGTACAAAGGGGCACCAGATATATATGCGCCGCACAAATTTCATTTGATTTGTGTGAGGGCTGTGATACTACCCAGGTGCCCAAACTGAAGCAGGTGGTTTTCTTAGGGGCAACACCCCGGGCCTTTGACCTAAAGATCTGATCCACAAGG